TTTCAGACTCTTGGCTTAGAAACATCCTCTCGGATAAGTGATGCCTGTGCAGAGGTAAGAAACATCACCAGTGAAGGACTAGTAATTATTAGTAATTTAACATTTGTATTTTTATTTTTTTGGTGATGTCTAACATATGCGTCATTTATTCAGGTGGAGTCACGGCTGACATCACTTCCAGAAGGTGAAGTGCCAGAAGCATTATTGAAGTCCAGTCTGAACTCTGAGCAATGGGTATGTATTAAAGTGAAATGGTATGTGCACATCCGAAAAAAAACAAACAAACAAAAAAAACTTTAGAGCAGGAGCATGACCAAAAATTTTTGATTTATATTGATTCATTATTTTTATTTATAATTGCTGTATTGTTTGTTGTTTATGCCTACTCGGGTGTATGTGTGTAAAGGAATTGTTCACCCAAAAGTGAAAAATTGCTAAAAATGTACTCGCACTCAGGCCATTCAAGATGAAGATGAGTTTGTTTTTTCATCGGAACAGATTTGGAGAAATTTAGCATTACATCACTTGCTCACCAGTGGATCCTCTGCAGTGAATGGGTGCCGTCAGAATGAGAGTCTAAACAGCTGATAAAAACATCACAATAATCCACAAGTAAACCACACGACTCCAATCCTTCAATTAATGTCTTGTGAAGTGAAAAGCTGCATGTTTGCAAGAAACAAGTCCCTCATTAAGGCGTTTTAACTTTGAATCTTTGCATCCGGTCCATACCAGTCCATAATCCATAATAATTCTTCCTCTAATGAAAAAGTCCATCCCCTGTTGTCCTCTCACATCAAAATCCACAGACATATAATGTTTAGAACTGTTTTCACTTGTAAATGGTGCTATCTCTTCTGATTCAGGCAAGATGGCTTTTTTACTCGATCTTAGTCATAAGCAATGGATTGACGTTAAAAACATCATGATGGTTTGTTTATTACAAAAACAGCTTTTCGGATCACACAACATTAACTGATGGACTGGAGTTCTGTGGATTACTTGGGGATTATTGTGACGTTTTTATCAGCTGTTTAGACTCTCATTCTGGCGGCACCCATTCACTGCAGAGGATCCATTGGTGAGCAAATGATGCAATGCTAAATTTCTCCAAATCTGTTCTGATGACAACTCATCTACATTTTGGGTGGCCTGAGGGTGATTACTTTTTCAGCAAATTATAATTTTTGGGTGAACTATTCTTCTAAATATTTTAAAGTTGTAATTTTTTTTGACTGCCTGACAAACACAGAAAGGGCCAAAACATTGTTTGTCTAGTATTTAAATAGTAGAACTGTGTCAGTGTGCTGTCCTTTTGTTTTTTTCATGTATTATAGAGTCACACTGACCTTTTATATTCTATTCCAGGACAAATATTTTCACAGTTATTTTTTTCACTCTTAGAAAAAGATTAATGACATCAACAGAGCTCTCTGTAAGGATTATGAATGTCGGCGCCAAATGATGATCAAGCGTTTCCATGTCACACTACAATCCTTTACTTGGGGAGAGAGGGGAAAGGTACTAAGATTGTCTCTTTTGCAAACCTTCAAGCATGTATTTTGTATTAGGTTTCACTGAGCAAATTCTCTCTATTTTCTTTCAAGGAACGCAGTGCTTTGCTTTCTTCCATGTCACCCTGTACACCTTCTCTTGAGTCCTCCGTCTCCATTGCTAAGCTGTTGGCTATAAGGGAGGACGAGTCTCGCATTAGGCCAGTTAAAGCAGGGCCTTCAACAGCAGTTCACAAGGTGCCGTTCTGCTTCTAATAATAAATTAAGTGTGGCAATTTGCATAAGATTTAATAAGGATTTATACACAACATTTGTTTCTGCAGGTACTGATGGGCAGCGTGCCGGACAGAGGGGGACGTCCAGGAGAGATCGAGCCACCGATGCCCAGCTTCACCAGACGCAGTGAGGGAGGAGGTGGTCATCATTATAAAAGGAAAAGACAAGAATATTCAGGAAAGAAGAATAAAAACAAACAGAATTAGAAGGGTTTTTAGTGCTAGTTTTGTAACTAACACAACACAACAAAAGAGATTTATGTTAAAAGGAGGCAATATTTCCCATTAAAATGAGACATAAATGATCATTGACTATATAAAAAAAAATGAATTTTTATTTAATGTTGCAAATTACTTAATGCACTATTTCATTTGATGAACAAAAATGTGATAAAATCATTTCAGTGAAATGTATAAATATGAATGGCTACAAGCTGTATTTACTTTGAACAACCAAGATCTATGATGAAATTATTAAAATCAATTATGTTTCCTTTGAAACAGTATTTTCTCTTTTAACTCTCTTCTCCTTATTACATTTCCCATTTATTTATTTTTACATGTGCATTTTTAAGTAGTTGTTGACATGGTATTTCAGGCAGTGAAGGCAATGTTTTTCAGTGTGACATGCTATATTTCATTAAAAACTATTTCAACATTCTTCTAGATCTTTGTATTAATTAAAATACATGGCTTATGACCTCATTTGAGATTTAAATGGCATAGAACATTTGTGTTGTTATGAGTTGTGGAATAGATAGTTGTAGAATGTTTTTAAAACGCACACATATTTATGTTATAAAAAACACACATTTATGTTATTATACATGTTCTATATTTATAAATGTTAACCTGTAGTCTTAATGTTTATGTTAAGGTTCATGCCCATATAAACTACCCCTTTGCGATTTTATCTCGCTATGCTAAAGTTTAAACTTAAACTGAGAATGGTAAGATGGTAACACTTGGGCAGAGTTTATATAAATATTTATCTTATTGTTATAATATTCTTTAATACTTTGGTGTTTATTGTTAAAAGAGTTGAACTCATGGACAGTAAATGGTTAACTGGAGTGTTTGGATTAAGACGCTATCTGGTAACCAAGGACGATTCCGCGTTCACACACCCTGACAACATATTAAAACGCGATGAAACACTGCACAACCGATGCATTTCATGAAATTATATTTACACTAATTTTTAGTACGGCAAAATATATATTTTTTCCTTTGGACTGGAGTCGATCAAACGTACACTTTAAACTTAATGTTAGACTAAGTGATACTGGTT